AGGGGGGGGGGGCAGAGGAGGAAGAAGGTGGGTGCACAAGTGAGGGTGTGTGTGGGTATGTGAGTGTGTATGGGTGTGTAGGTGAGCGGGTGTGGGTATGTGAGGTTGTGAGGGTGTATTACCAAGTGCTCACTGCCAATCGGATTCGTTGGATTGAGTCGAGACCAACCAGATATTCTTTCATTGATGGGGAAAAAGCTACCATTTTGGCACAACTCAACTAAATTCGACAGGGATCTCCAAATAAAACATGTTTGTCTTTCAAGATCACGAGTTCATTCAGTTGTATTGTGCCAAAATGGTAGCCTTTGCCACTCACTCAGTGAAGGAAAGTCTGGCTGACTCTGACTCAATCAGAATGACAATGTGCACTGGATATAAGCCAAAGGAAGGTTGGCATTTTCAGCAAAGGTCATGCAAGGCCTCAGAACAGGGTAAAGATCACAAAGCTAGTTGGATTTCACAGCGCCAAAAAAGGTACTTCTTCCAGAAAAAATGTCTTGTAAGTCTTAGTTTTAGTAAGAGTTTTACGGCACTTGCAACCCAATAAGGTCATATAAGTTATAAGTGCCGAAGATTAGAGTGGTGTTACAAGAGAGTAACAAACACAAAAAAAGAAAAAGGGGAGATAGAGACGATAGATCTTTTTATAGGAAAGAAGGAGCAAACCACACCAGAGCACCCACCAACCACCCACCTTGTAAGTCTAGGAGACGCATTTATAGTCCATTGTTTAAAGCTAAATGGGTATGCAAGCTGACAACAGGGCAACAGTGGAGAAGTTATGAAGACAAATATATTCACAAGCATCTGTGGTATAGTGCTGTCGCATGTAGGAGACCCGAGTTCTATTCCAGAGTGAGGAGAATTTTTATCGAGCATCTCAGTCTTTCCGCTGGGATATTGTATCCCCCTGAGCCTGTGTTGGCCCCCAACAGCCAGGGTGGAAGCTCGTCTTCTAAATGATCTAAATTGTGTTGAGATGGACACAAAAACACCTACGTTAATAATAAAAGGCAACATTATGACTCTCTTTTCCACTGTGCGCTGTGTGGACGGAAGTATCTCTTTGTGGTCCACCTAATGACGAATATAACACCAAAAAAAAAGCAAAAAAGAAAGGCGGTGCCTTGTCCCTAAAAAATGAAAAAGGTTTTGTTTATAATCTTTAGAAAGTGGTGGGATAAATGCAATACCATATCCAAAAGCCTTGTGCTGAATCAGTAAGTACACATTGTGTTACGTGAAAGAGACAGAAAAAATCTTGCGGCTTTAAAACCATCCCCAGGCTGATGAAAGAATTAGAAAAAGCCAGGTACTATACTAAGAAATAAAAGATTTCGTGCAAACTGTCTAAGAATAAGAAAAATTATACTTTCAAAATATAAAAGCGAAATCTGTACACTCAGTATTGATGTATATAAAAAGAGAGCATCTAACCACATCTACAGTGTAAGTTGACTGATATTTCTTATAAAGGCAGGAATAATGAAAAGCAGTCAATGTATAGGGTTATTGGGCATAGAAGTCGCGTACTTGCAACGAACACCCGACACTACAACCTTTTCTAACTCTTTTTGTCTTTTTAAATCGGGTTTCGCAACATTAAAAGTAACGTCTATGGTGAAGAAGTTAGGCATTTTGCCACTGCATACAAATGATGTGAGTTCAATTTTCATGTGAACAGATTTTTTTTAATTCGGTATCTCTGTCTGTCTGCTGAAGTGTTGTATCCCTTTCATTTCTGATTGGGTCTGATATGCCGGGCTGAAGCAGCTCACCATCTATATGAAGTAAATATATGGTCGCTTTTAACCCTATCGGTACATCGTGTTTTACAATCGTATCCATACCACGTAGGGAACTCTGTGCCACCACTTTCCAAAGAGGAAATTTACTCGTTAGTCTGATCTGTACGCTTTGCATAGCAGTCTGTCAAAATGATTTTTGGAGAAATACTGAAAATTTCAAAGAGAATTTCGCACTAGAAGTATTCTAAAATATGAAGAACACAACCCTGGGTGTACAAAATGACCCCAGAGCGTATGGACAGGGTTAAGGACAAGCGGGCTAACCCAGACTTCGGGGGTTTCCAGAAATCTTGACCTACACCAAAAGTGGGCATTGCCCTACCTATAGGAGAAGTTTGGTTTCATTGGTGTGTATATATTTGTTTGATTATAGAGTCTTTGTCTTTTAAAGACACTAAACAGGGGGCAAACACTTTACCTTCAATTTTCTCAAAAAAGCATTTTGCGGGATAGTTCCGATGGCGATGTGAAAAACCTACATTTACAATTACTGTATTCTGAGTGGCTCAAACTAGTAAGTTCTAGCTTGTCTTTTTGCCACATTAACTTAGGGGAGATACACATTCCAGAACACCGTGACACTTGAGGTGCTGTTTTGCGGGCACTTAAAAAAATAGAAGTATGACTTCATTATTCAAACACATTTTTAAACAGTTTTAAAGGCAGGCAACTACATGCACACTCTGAAATGTACAAATTTGCGTTTCTGACTTGTACATGACGTTTCAAAAGTACAAATTTGCGTTTCTGACTTGTACATGACGTTTCAAAAGTACAAATTTGCATTTCTGATTTGTACATGACGTTTCAAAAGTACAAATTTGCGTTTCTGATTTGTACATGACGTTTCAAAAGTACAAATTTGTGTTTCTGATTTGTACATGACGTTTCAAAAGTACAAATTTGCGTTTCTGACTTGTACATGACGTTTCAAAAGTACAAATTTGCGTTTCTGACTTGTACATGACGTTTCAAAAGTACAAATTTGCGTTTCTGACTTGTACATGACGTTTCAAAAGTACAAATTTGCGTTTCTGATTTGTACATGACGTTTCAAAAGTACAAATTTGCGTTTCTGACTTGTACATGACGTTTCAAAAGTACAAATTTGCGTTTCTGACTTGTACATGACGTTTCAAAAGTACAAATTTGCGTTTCTGATTTGTACATGACGTTTCAAAAGTACAAATTTGTGTTTCTGATTTGTACATGACGTTTCAAAAGTACAAATTTGTGTTTCTGATTTGTACATGACGTTTCAAAAGTACAAATTTGTGTTTCTGACTTGTACATGACGTTTCAAAAGTACAAATTTGCATTTCTGATTTGTACATGTTGGATCAAATGTACAACAACTCTGACTTTGCTCTGCAGCTGGTCAGGGAATAAAAATCTCTCATTGGAACTTTAATCTATTTAGATCCAGATGTTTTGCCTTTTGGTTTAAAGGTCACTTTCTTCATTCCAAATGTTGTAAGAACTGAGTCCCACATGAAACATTACAAGCAGAATTGAAAGGGTAAGTTTTTTAAAATTAAAAAGACAAAAAAAACAAAGACAAAAGAAACAAAGGCAAAAATATGCGAGGCGCGTCTGTCAAAAGTCTAAATACTTCTATCTACTGCTACAGAAAATGATTTCTTTATGAAACAAAAGGGGAAAAGAAAAAAACCGCTGATTATCACCCATGTCGAGTTTACCTGAAACTTTGGCAAGGAGATCTGAGGAGATCATAGATCAGCATGAGAAAACAGAGAACTGTTTTATCCAGCTCAGCTGATGCTGTGGTATGTGTGTGTGGTAGCCTATCCGTTTCAAATGTTTGGAGCTCTGAAGAGCGTGCATGTTGTTGTTGTTGTTGTTGTTGTTGTTGTTGTTGTTGTTGTTGTTGTTATCGATTCAGTATGGAGAACTACACAGCAGAGACTAAAGTCAGTTGAAACTGCTGTAGCGGTTACCTCGCCTAGCTCTCCATAGTGGTCACTTGTACTAACAGACAATGTTTCATGACACCTTTGCTTTTGAACATAGTTTTTTACGTGCCCACAGTGGTCCCTGTCCAACGCAACCACGGTCAGTCATTTTTGCTATAAATTGGACTCAAAACTTGCTCATAGCGGCCACTAGCTACACAAATTTTCTGTCCAACCCATCTTCCGACTGAGTGGGTAGGTCCGTTCAGTTAATGCAAAGTAGCTCTTATGATACATACAATTTTGAAGGAAATGAAATGAAGAGATAAAAATAAAAGTTTCAGATTTTAAACAATCTGTTGACTTCGTCAAGTCTATTATAAGTAAGTGATTATACCTCAGACCTGTGCATAGCAGCCAAATGTATATATATATAACGGTCACTTTTCTCTGAGATCTTGAGTTGCCGTTGTGGACAAGTTCAACTCTACTTTTCATTTAGTGGCATTACTCTGACTGGTTTGTTTTTCTTTTAAAGTACAGAACAGGCCTATACAGAACAGAAAAAAAAATTAGTTCTTCTTCTGGACACCATTACTGCCACTTCTAAGTTTATATAAATAAGAAAATCATCTATGGTACAGAGTTTAAGTCTTCTGAATGCATGCAAAAGATTTAAGTTTCAATCCAGATAAGGAAGATACCATATCAAGTATTTCAGACATTTTATTGGGAAACGTAAATAAATCAGCAAAACTAATTATGTACGTAGATCCTGATTCTCAACATATCAAAACAAAAAAGGGTAGATCAATTAATGAGCAGCACTACTCACTGTCATCATCGGTATCATCGTCATCATCATCGTCGTCATCATCATCGTCATCATCATTATCGTCGTCATCAGAAGTTTTCCGCTTCTTCGAGCGGGGCGTTTTCTTGGGAGGGGTCGGAATCTTGTAGAACTTTTCCACCCAGCCTCTTTGCCTGAGGCTGTGCCGGATGGTGGAGTATCCACCCTGGATGGTGAACACCTTCTTGTACTGGAGAGAGAAGAAAATATAATTGTGTCACGGCGCGGTGGAATCAGGCTCTCGTCAATTTTTGGGAATATATATGGAGCTACTGGTATCACGTTAAAGCCTGTTCATTCGCCTTGCTTTGAAAGAAAAAAAAAAAAGTTTTAACTTGAACAGAAGTCGGGATATTTTGTGATTGAAGGAGGATGGGGACATCCGGGTTCAGAGGTAAATTTAGCGAGAAAATGGCTGCCAAAGTTTGATGATTTCCATAGCTTGAGAGTCCTTGAAAACTGAAAATTTACAGTTTTTAGCCCTTTAATAAACGTTTTTCAGTAAAATCCACACAGAAACCTGTTTATAAATAGAAACAAAAGATGTTGAGCCAAAACAGCAATAGTTAGATAAAAATTGCCAAACAAGCAGAAAATGCCGGTTTCTTTGATTTTAGTATTTTGACGAGTGCCTGATTTCACCACGATGCCTCACAATTGTGAGTTGTAGCAGGGCAATCAGGTGCTTGTCAAATTTTAGGGAACGGAGAAATCAGTATTTTGCTGACTGTCGGGCGATTTTTATTTAACTGAGTTTTTTTTGTTTTTGTTTTTTGCACAGAAATATACTGCATCCATTAAACAACACATTTTAGGGTGAATTTTGCTGAAAAATATTGTTTAAAACCAAAAAAATATCAGTTTGTAGAAGGATTATGAATAATATTCAGCTTTAAAAGTCACCAAACTTTGGCAAAAAGTATTTACATCAATTTAGCCTATTGTTACCTTGATTGCCCGCTCTACAGTGTCTTTGGCGTTCCTCAGCCTGTCTCCCTCGCTGAGCAGCGACATCTTCTGCTGCGACATCTTGGGCCGCCCCAAGGTTGGCATGGTTTTACTCCGCGATGAGGCGTAGGAGTCAGCCATGTCATTTTCTAAAATAAAAGAAAAAAAAGTTCCAAGAGATTTACGACTTCTTTTAAAGTAATGGTGGGATTCATGTCACTGAGGATATTAGTGACAAGTTGAAGTAAAAAACATCAGAAATAAAGCCAAACAACATGATGACCCCTACTTTGTTTACTGAACTGATGGAACCCAACAAGTTTTTTGTTTCTCCTGTAAAATTTACTCCGCAGTCTAATCACAAGAGCGACAAAATAAGATAAGATAATAATTTATTGATCTACACAAAGAGAAATTTGCTGTGGCATGGTAAATACACACATGCACACGTCTACACATACCCTATTACTCTGTCTGTCTGTCTGGCTCCCTGCCTGCCTGTCTGTCTGTCTTTTGGTCTATCTGTCTGTCTGTCTCTCTCACACACACTAACACACACACACACACACAAACACACACACATACTCACACACACACAAGCACACACACACACAAGCACACACACACATGCACACACACACACACACACACACACACACACACACAAATATACACAATCACATACACAGATGCACACACATAAACAGCCATTGGATTTTTACATGATACAAAATAATGTTCTTCTCGCACACTTGACAATGACAAACATCACAGAGACAGGTGTGATATAAAAGTCAAGTAAAGTTGTCCCCACATCCGATCTAGACATTGGGGATTGCCTTGTTAGTAAGACAACTTCCAGGACCTTCAGCATAATATTATGGTAGGGTGGCCAGTTCCTTTCCACGCTGCCCGTACTTCCCCAACTCGAAGTCAGATACCCATTACACATGCTGGGTGGGCAGAAGGGGGGGCGAAAAAAAATGTGTTTCCAAACTGAGGCTCGGACCCGCACTTTCCAATTTGGAGTCAAGCACACTAACCACTCCGCTACCGCAAACAAAAATGAGCAGAAGATGAGCTCACCTTTATCGTCTGTGTCGCTGCTCTCCGTGTGTCCCTTGGAGCGGTTGCTGGAGCCATCTCCGTGTCCTCGCACGCGCACCTGACGATACAGCAGCTCCGGGTTGTTCTGTGCCAGTGGCCCTGGGGCGGATAATAATAATGACAATAATGATAGTGGTTAGGCTCTCGGACTCGCAACCGTAACGTCGTGGGTTCGAATCCCGTCAGGGACCCGACGTTGTGTCCTTGAGAAAGGCACTTTACACGAATTTTCCTCACTTCACCCAGGTGGGAATGGGTACCCGGCTATAGACAGTGAAAGATCTTGTCAGTTTGTTAGTGTTCGAGCGCTTTATCAGCTGCTTGCACTGTATGCTTCCCGGGAAGCTGAGAATGTTTCGGAGTGTTCTATGGTCTGCTGGGGTAATAATATTGTGTAAAGCGCATAGAGCCTGCTGTTGAGCGGGGATATGCGCTATACAAATGCTATCTATTATTATTATTATTATTATTATTATTATTATAATGATAAAAAATAATAATGATGATAATAATAATAATAATAATAATAATAATAATAATAATAATAATAATAAACATTATTATTATAATAATAATAATGATAATAACCATATTAATAATAACAGTAACAATACAATAGATTTTACACTTAGATAACTTGGTTCTATAGTTTTGTTCTGTATACTAGTTATTTTGTTTCGGAAAATGGCCTCACGTTTTATGTAAGGTCAATTTATTATTTCCCCGGCCAATTCTGCCTAGGGAGATGCTGGAATTTTGTTTCTACTGTCATTACACACGGAGAAATCGTGGTTTTAAGAAAGGCACTTTCAGCACTTTTGTTTCCACTGATCAGCTGAGCATGTCTCTTTCTCACACACACATTCCTTTTTTTATTCATGAAAGTATTCAATAGTCTTTATTATACATGGCATACAATATATAGATCTAGACATTCACAAGCATTTTTGAATATCAATGTAGGCTTGCTCTTGCTCATTCGGATATGAAAAAAAATTATAAGCCCCAAATAATGCCAAATTTATACAGCACCCCAAAGCAAAACTACTAAAGGTACATCAAATGGTGTGTCTAAAGATCCATCTGATGTTGTACTTTGTTCCAAATTTCAAAGCAATTGGATTGTATTTATGGTTACTAGTGGGCCCTTACATATGAGCCAAAATGACCGGTTTCTGGGTACAATTACAGGAAAAAATTCCCGGGATTGAGTGAGTTAACATGGTTTGAGGCTTCTGCTAAGGCCTATGAGATTAATTCCAGAAATTTTGCTGCGTAAAACCTCAAGTGCAAGCAATCAACACACCATTCATGAGGCGGTCCAGGCCGGAGGACATGTGTGTCTTGGTGCGCTGCAGCGACAGGGTGTTCGACGGACTCATCTCGTCGGTGCGGTTGCCTGTTTCGGGTTCAGAAGAGGGAGCCGAGATCACATTGTCTTCTTCCTCCAGAAGCTGAAAGAAACACAGCAAAGAAGTAGTTAAATTAGCTTAGCTTTATTTTTAGTAAGGGCTTTACAACACTTGCAACACAATACGGTCATATAAGTGCCGAAGATTAGAGGTGTTACAAGAGAGTAACAAACACAAAAAAGGAGGAGAGATAAGGACAATAGATGTTTGATAGGACAGAGTTAAATTAGCTGTCCAGAATGGGTCAGTAAAGATGCAAAATTATGTAGTTAAATAAGCTGTCCAGAACGGGTCAATAAAGACGTAAAATGATATCCTTAGCCAGATGTTCAAATGTAATCAGTCTAAAAAAAAAAATAAAAAAAATAAATTTGTGCCACGATGAGGAACTGTGGTTTTAACACTTTGCCACCACAAGGCTCATTTTGGGGGAAATCCAAAGAAACATCGCTGATCAGCGTTTTGTGATGGGAGCGGAAGTTTGGTGTTCTTGCCGATCGGCGAGGTGTGAGGGCAAACTGTTAAATGGACATAAAAGGTGACGACCCAAAAATGTAAAAATGTGGAGAAAATTGCCCTACGGGCCGAACAATGTCGGTTTTCTTTTATTTAATTATTTCACCAGTACTGCTGTAAACTGACAAAAAGCCTTTTTTTCTATATTGGAGCCAAAAATTTTTATTCGCTAAATAGAAAGCCTGATCAGTTACCCTACTTGTGTGAAAAAAATCAAAGTGAAACTTGTGACTAGATTTTGAAAAAATAAAATTAGAATCCAAATTTCGGAAGCACTCTATTTTTCCAATGGCAACACTGACAAAAAACCCCTCTTTTTCTTGAAACTGCTGTGAATAAAAAAAGGCGTTTGTCAGCTGAAGGCAGAGTAGACACTAATACACAGATGTACAGGTAAATGAGAAATGAAGCAGCACTTACCTCGTTCCTGGTCTGTCTCCTCGGAGCTAACTGTCCCGACAAACGGAATTGTTGACTAGATCTTTCAAGCTGTAATAAGAAAATAAAATACAAAAACCATTTTAGACAGCACAAAAAAACAAACAAAAACCCCCCCCCCAAAAAACAACAACAGGATAAATTGATACAAACACTGATCAAAAGCTTCAATTTGGATTCAATAAACTGATGCAACTCAACATGAAACGTATAATGGCATTTCGTGTATGCTTAATGTTTCATTTCATTTACAAGGGAAACCATTGAATTTTCTTCCGTTTAGCCGAATTTTCGGTTTAGAGAGTTTGCTCAATTAGAAGAATAAAATCTGGATTTTTTTTTTCTTTCAGCTTATAGCTGTTTTCGCAATAACTATGTTTGATTTAAGCGGGTTTCACGGTATTTGTGCTGAAGGAAAGTGTGACATTCAGGGATCTTTGTGATACTTAACCCTATCCGTACGTCGTGTTTTACTATTGCATCCATATGACGTGTGGAACTCTGTGCCATCTCTTAACCCTATTCGTACGTCGTGTTTTACTATCGTATCCATACGACATGGAGATTTCTGTGCCACCTCTTTCCAAAGAGGAAATTTACTCGTTAATCTGATCTGTGCGCTTTGCATAGCAGTCTGTAAAACGATTTTTTGAGAATTACTAAAAGTTTCAAAGAGATCTTCGTACTAAAAATATTCTAAAATGTGAAGAATACAACCCCGGGGGGTACAAAATGACCACAGGGCGTACGGAGAGGGTTAATCCAGACTAATCATTTGTAACTCAACATTCATAACGGCGCTACTTCTCTCTTCTGTGTATCAATAACCCAACAATTCAGAGCTGTTGTGGAATGGCACTGAAACCCCACAGGAACTGTGTACAGAAACTCAGACAGTAGAATGAAGATCACAAGTTTAATGTAGGTGTTTTTACACCCCTATCAACACAATTTAGATAATTCAGGTGACAACCTTCAACCCTACCTCTCAGAGCCAGCCTGTGCTGAGAGAGAAATACAATATTCAAGCAAAAAGACCGAGATACACTCACTAAAAATTTTCCCCACTTTGAGAATCAAACTCGGGTCTCCTGCATGCAATTGTGAAGCACCTAACCTCTACACCACAGACACCGATGAAGTCATGAGTAAGAGAAGCCTTTTCCTTTTTTGTTTTTGTAAGAGTTTTACGGAACTTGCAACACGATAAGGTCATATTAGTGCCAAGACTGTTGCTGCTGATGAATCTCTGTCCTCATTCATTTCGGTATGTGATTGCAAAATTATTGCACATATGAAAGCCCTTATTTAAATTTATGCAGATTTTTAAGGAGGCTGGCTGCATTCACTGTGCTCTTAAGGCCAATGTGGGCGGTGTGGGACACAACGTTGGAGACGAAATACAGAGATGCTCCGAAATATCTTCCTACTTGGGAACTGATTTTATGTTGTCTGAACCTACAGAGTAAAAACTGGCATCTGTGTGTGGTGTACCGGTGGTGCCTCACTATCCCGCACAGAAAATGTGAGTTTATGTAAATACCCTGCGGAGAGGGTGTTGGGGTTTTTTTTTGTCGAGTATCTCAATCAGTCAGCTGGGATGTTCTATCTCTCTCAATCTGTGTTGACCTTGAGAGGCAGGCTTGAAGCGAACTACCTCCTTAATACTCTAAATTATATCAACAAGGAGTTGTAAAAAATCTACAACTGCATTGCACTACGTAGCCGATATAATTTTTATAAAGTAGATCTATACCGTTAAAGCATTTCACAACAGATGCTATGTAAATGTACAAAAAATACACATATATAATATATACGTGTGTACAAACACGCAAGCAAAAACATGAACAAACAGACACATTATAAAAACGTATGTATATATATATTACGCTAAATAAAATGAGTAACCACCAGAAAATCAGTGTTGTAACTAGAAGATAAATGTGCAATGGTAACCAAGAAAAAGAATTTCTTAATTGTCAGTAAATGAAAGAGAGAAAAACAAACAGAAATGCAGCACGACGTGGTGGAATCAGGCGCTCGTCAATTTTTGGGCATGTGGAGTCATTGGTATAATCTGAAAGCTGATGTATTTGCCTTGCATCGAAAGAAAGAAATATCCATTTATCTTGAATAGAACTCAAGATATTTGTGATTGAAGGAAGCGAGGTCGCCTGGTTTCAGTGGTGAAATTATCGAGAAAATGGCTGTAAATTTTGGTAACTCCAATAGCTAATGATTCTTTGAAGACTGAAAAATGACATATTGTTTTCATTTAATCAATGTTTTTCAGGAAAATTCACACGGAAATGTGTTTTCATACGGACATAAAAGAGGTTAAGCAAAAAAAAAAAAAAATTGCATGAAAATTTCCAAACTGGTGGAAAATGCCTCTTTCTCCGATTTGCTTCATTTGACGAGCGCCTGATTTCGCCACGCTGCCTCACAAATCAATGTGAATAACATCAAAGCATGGGATTTTAAACATTTTCTGGTATGATTCTGGTGTGTCAGTATTCAATTAGGCGAAATCTGAACCATCTACTGATATAATTTATAAAGTTCAACATTTTTTCTGCAAAAGGCTGCTATGAGCTGACTTCTGAGCACAGAAAAAACACACGATTTTACTACATAAGCCCAGCATCTCAAGAGACCTGTTTACTTTTGAGTTGTAAGTTAACAGATTATAATCCCAAACACCTTTTTTCCATGAATGACAATAGAAGGACATCCGTTTTTAGTTTTAGTAAGAGTTTTACCGGACTAGCAGGACAATAAGGTCATATAAGTGCAGAAGATTAGAGGTGTTACAAGAGATATTTGTTCTTTTTTTTGGTTCTTGTAAGAGTTTTACGGCACTTGCAACACAATAAGGTCATATAAGTGCCGAAGATTAGAGGTGTTACAAGAAAGTAACATACATTAAAAAGAAGGAGGGCAGATAGGGACGATAGATTTTTAAAAGGAAAGAAGGAGCAAACCACACCAGAGCACCCGCCAACCACCCACTACAAGAGATTAACAAACACAAAAAAGAAGGAGGAGAGATCAGGACGATAGATGTTTGAAATATAGGAAAGAAGGAGCAAACCACACCAGAGCACCCACCAACCACCCACAGGACATCAGCTTGACCCACCGAGGACACACAGTGCTTGAAGATGTGCTGCTTTGAGGCACTTTACGAAACAAGCATACACGAGTAATAACATCACAGAAATTGATGAGGGAAGAAATGGAATAACATCAAGAGGCGAGCCCACGATAGAGATAAAGGTGGAAAGTATGTATACTATACCCTGGTGCATGGTGAGAAAAGCAATGATGATGATGATGATGATGATGATGATGATGATGATGATGATGATGATGATGATGATGATGATGATAATAACATTAACTTCCTACTTATTTAGACACATAGATTTTTCAAACTTTGTTTCCTTTATTCCAAATGTCAAAAAGGCAGAAAACAAATGAATACTATGAGACATGCAAATTTTTCTTTCTGATTTGGGTATGGGGGTTCTACAGGTGCTGCAATTGTGCTTTCTGTCTGCTGCTGATTGGACATACATGTGTCCAATAAATACATCATTAAACGGTGAATGACCCTTCAAACACTCTTAATTTATCTTAGCGGAGGGACCACCTGATTTAACGTTCATTTTGGAGAGGAAAAAGGCAAGTGAGTGAAGAGTATTCAAAACTCTCCAACAAACGACCCAACATAAAGAACGCCCCTTTTAGGATTTGAAACAGACAGAGGCATCCCCATCATAGCTGAGCATGATACAAACTTAGCCCACTGCATGTCATTCTCAAAACACAAACTTGGAAGCTTAATAGAATAGAAAACAACAGTCACTGCTCATCTCAAATAAAATAAATTATAAACAGGTTTAGCCCAAGCTCAGAATTTAAAAAACAAATGTCATAAAAAAGAGACATTATATCAACAGTGTTTTCATATCCCTCTAAGACTGGAAAACGAACGCTCAATATGTACTATATTATTATTATTGCTAAATAAATGTAATTACTATTATTATTATGTTATACTTATTATCATAATAATAATTAATATTATCACTATTACTATATTATGATTCTTATTCCAACAACACCACAGTGATTGAGAAAACCACGGGCAGCCCAAGAAAACAGAAAAACAACGCACCCTTGAGAAAAGGCGTAATGAAAAGCCACTGCGCGAAGACTTAACCTTATTCACAGTCCAAGCAGAACCATATGGCAATCAGTGCCCAAGCCTCGGTATAGCACACACACACACACACACACAAAAGCTAGCAAGGAGAAAACCCTTGCAGGCTTCCAGTGTGAGGCACAGAGGGGCTGGAAGAATAAAGCAGGGCTTAATACAAGTGGCCTGGGACCAGAGAGTGTAGATCAAAACCTTCTGCACGCTTCATCGAGCCCGTTCCGCGGCGTTCACATAAGCATTCACATTCAGCCTCAGTACCACAGCCAGATTATGGAAACCATTTGGCAGAGTAAATATTGGGTCAGGATAAAGAACGCTTCTATTTAAGCAATGACATTTTTTGCACGAAAAGAATATAGACCGGGACAGAGATTTTATTATGATTTATCGAAGGAATACTGTATTGAATTAAAATGTTCCTTTTGGGTTGAAGCTAGTTAATAGAAAGAAACATTGGTTGTGAAGGGGCTCTCGTACACACGTAACATATGCTTTGACATGAATGGAGAGGGTGAGAGGGAGAGAGAGAGAGAGAGGGAGAGAGAGAGAGAGAGAAAGAGAGAGATAGATAGATAGATAGAGAGAGAGAGAGAGAGAGAGAGAGAGAGAGAGAGAGAGAGAGACAGACAGACAGACAGACAGACAGACAGACAGACAGACAGACAGAGACAGAGAAAGAGAAAGACAGAGACAGAGACAGAGAAAGAAGGAGGGAGGAGGGGAAAAGATAGAGAGACAGACAGACAGAGTGAGAGAGAGAGAGAGATTGTGTTCTGGTAAGAGAAGGATACAGTTAGCAAACATCTCAGGCCTATTGTGG